TAAATTAGAATTCATAAATGCCTTTATACTTCCGGTATCTAGAGAATTGGATTTTTTCGATCTGGCGCATTGTTTCTCAGTAAGCGTGAGTCGCGATTGTTATTTACTGAAAGAACCGACAATTAACTAACAGTCACGATTCACGCTTACTGAGAAACGATGCGCCAGATCGAAAAAGTCCAATTCTCTAGATATCAGAAGTATAAAGGCATTTATGAATCCTAGTGTACATCGGTAAATAAAGATAACGTTTTCTACGTTTTGGATCGTTTTAATCGTCTCTACGTTATCGACGCTTAGCAAGTTTAGTCGTCCACTCCAGCATGCCCTTAAGCCGGAACTCGAATCGAGGTGTTTCGAGTCTCCGCTAAACTAATAGGCTGGGATTCGAATTAAGATGTTTCGAGTCTCCGCTAAACTAATAGGCTGGGATTCGAATTAAGATGTTTCGAGTTTCCGCTAAACTAATAAGCCGGGTTTTGAACCGAGGTATTTCGAGTTTCCGCTAAACTAATAAACCGGGATTCGAACCGAGGTGTTTCGAGTCTCCAATATTATTCATATTATTATAAACTATCAATTCCAATAAAATGAATTGTGGGACAGATAAGTGCCCTTCGTATTACTTTAATATCTTTAGTGGTTATTAATATCTTTAGTTGCCGAGAAATACGCGAAAAATACAATCGGTAGTAAAAAGGCTGTCAGCGGCATCGAAAAATACGCACGTTTTCACGGCTTATTTAACGAACCGTTATTAATAGTATTATTATAGCATTAGTATTATTAGTATTATTGTAAACTATGAATTCCAACAGGATAAATTGTGGAGAACTTTGTTTTCTTTGAATCACATCGATATCTTTTGTGGTTGATATGAAATAAGCAAAAAATATAAATTAGCAAAGATATTAATATAAGCAGCATATTTAAACTTGTATATTTATTTGTTTTATATTGTCCAGTTTCCAAATCCTTTTTCTTTACAAAATTACGCAGAACGCAGCAAAAAAGATGAGACTAATGAGAAATGATCTAGCTTTGCGATAAGTTTGCCACTAGTTCGCTTCGTGCTTACGTCGCGCGGTCCGCTCATCAGTGGTGAGACAAGAACAGAGCGATTGGACGTCTATCCTTTTCTAACTTACTATCATTGTACGAAAGTACAACGGGCACGAACCAGGCGCATTTTATCGTTACCACGTGAAAATGCGCCTAACGTAGTAAAGGCGCACTTTGTTAGATGGCGTCTCGAAAATGCATCTAGCCATTGAAATCAGGCTGGTGGCCGCTCTCATACTTCTCTTTGTAAAGCTTTATCTACAATGTGTTCTTTGCTTCTTGCTTCTTTCTCTTTATCTCTTTCTGACTCAAACCTTAAACTTTAAGTCAGAAAAAGACAGAAAACAAGAAATAGAACGCAAAGAATACATTATAGATTAGGCTTTACAACGTTTGCATGAGGTTTTACTCACCGAAAAAGTGCGCGCTCGTCGTGGACATATCGTAGGTACGCCTGCTCGGGACGGAGAAACAGCCGGCCGTTCATTGGTTCGATCGTCGACGTCGGTATTGGCGCGCGGCACTATGAACTCGACGAAACGAACGAAAATCGAGAAAAAGAACGACGCGGAATGCGCGGGTATGTGCCACGAAACTTAAAGTCTCTTTACGGCGGCTATAAACTGATAACCAGTTTAACCAGTCTTGCGACGCCGGACATCTTACCTCCGCGAAATCGTTCCTATTCCGTGTTTACCGCCGTTCCGTCGTTTCCCTTTCTCGCCTCTTTGTCGCTTTTTCCGCGCTCGTTGCCAGGTCGGTCATTCTTCGTTTCCCACAACGGCGGGCGAATTACGTGTCCGCGAAAGCACACTAACCCGCTTGCGATCGACGCTTGAAACATTTCCGTTGAATCCGTTTCGAGTACCTTCCGAATCAGTCGTCCTTCTCGAAGATATACCCAAACGGCTGCGCATGCGCGCGCCAGTCTAATCTCCGACGCGATTAGCAACGCGATTGGACTAAGCATTGTGACGAAGGAACGAGCGGAACAGGTTAGAAGCAACGAAAGTAGTCACGAGGAACAAACGAAGGTACACGTCTGGTAATTACGAGAACAAATACGTCAAGCGTCTTCACAATTCGTTGTTTCTTACTTTATTTGACGCGATAGAGTACGCGAACGTTTCTCGAACTTGAGTCTCGAGCGGTTCGACCCGTTCCGGCGGTTCAATCACGCCATTGGCTGGAGTCGGTGCGTCGCGAGCGTCGCAACAGGAGGGACAGTGGACGCGGACAGGAATGAATCCGTTTCGGCAGTTCGTCAATCGAACGTTTCGGTTTCTTAAACATCACGATGAACGGCAGTTCGTCACGAGGAACGTTGTCGGGCAGCAAGGCGAAGGCGTCCGTCCCGTGTAACGTCTATCTCTCTCCCTCTCTCCTTCATTTGCAGCGTGGATGGTCTCTCGCGTCTGAATCGTGCTGGTAAGGTAGGGAGGTTTGAACCGTACGTTCGTACGCGACTCGGATATCACCTCTGCTCTGTGTGTCTCTTCACCTTCTCTCATCGCCTACTCGTCTCTTTTATGTGCCCCTGCCGAGTCAGCCGAGTCGCACGCGAATGTGCACGTGGCTTTAGAGCCGCTCGATTTTACGAGCACTCTGGGATAGAGGGTACCCGCGGCTCGGTAATATCGCTAGAGAAGAGAGCGTTATGCGCCGTGCATGCACAGGTGCATCCGCGGACCTATCGTCGTCGTCGTCGTTGTCGTGGATGACATACGGCGCGAGTAGGGTCGTCACTTACCGAGATCGCTACCGTCACCTCCGTGACGCATTTGATGTTTGGAAAATTGTACGTTACACACACATACACATACGCGTACGCGAGTCGAGCATCGAGTAGACGCGTGTAGCTAAACACGGTAATACATAACGGCTCCGTTATTTTGAATTCTATCACAGTGTGTACATTCGAGGTAGTCCCGCGGGTATCGTTGTGCATAAACATAGCGTGCGTGTCAATTTTGTTATCGATCTCGCGCAAACGGCCAAACTCACATTAGCGATCTGAAAATATTCGGAATAGTGGTATCAGTCAAGGAGGCAAATGTTTACAATGTCTCTGAAGTTCGTCTTAATAGTTGTTACGTAAAACTCGTCTCAAGCGAAACAATCAGATTTTAATTCAGAACTGGATGAGAATTTTTTACTGAAATTGCGGTTATAGATTTGAATATCACAGATGTCATAATTCAATAGAAAAGTTTGGAACCAATTCTGAATAAAAGTCTGAGTATCTCACATGAAAGCAGTTTCAGATAACAACTATTAATACCGATCTTACTTTATTATGGTTATTAATAGTTGCTAATTGAGACTTGCCACATGTGAGAGAGAGAGAGAGAGAGAGAGAGAGAGAGAGAGAGAGAGAGAGAGAGAGAGAGAGAGAGAGAGAGAGAGAGAGA